TATATATATATAGCATTTGGAGTTTAATTAGGATGATGCTCAATTTTCTCTTGGAATTTGGATGACAGAGTAGCAAAGAAATTTAGGGGATACCATTTTATACTCATCACAATCTGATTATTAGATGAAACATTGAAAGATCGTCAAGCTTTTAATTTACTGCTCAGTTTAAAAAAAAAAACAAAAAAAGCACACAAAACTGTTGCATATATTATGGAGTATAGGATATGACATTACGTATGACAATTTTTTTAGTTTTGGTAAGACATATGACAGTCAGAGTCTTTTTTTTCTTCAAACGAATTTGGAGAATGAAATTGGAAAAAACGGCAGTCTGGTGCACAACGCATACCTCATTCATGCAGGGTCCGGGGTAGGACCGCAGGAGGACCAGTGACCTATATGTCACACAAAGACAAATTGACGGTTGCTTCAAAGGTCCTTAATGAAATTGGAAAAAAAGTTTGTACGAAATCAATTTTTTGTTATTAATATAAACTTCCGTGATTTGAATATTGAAGTAATTATTTCGAGTGAATAATCGCCCTGGAATCAATAAATCCAACCACAGGGATGGAATATGTAGTAGAATGAGTCGGTTACTCTTTCAAAAATCTCCAAAAAAACATATAGGTGGACCTTGTTGATAAATAATTCAAAATTGTTGCTAGTTTCTCTAATTCATGTCTAAATAGGATTTGCAGCTAAATTCATATAGGAATAGATTTTCTGACTTCTAGTAGAAGTAGGGTTTGCTCTATTATAAATAGGGCTGCTAAGACCTATTTTCTATGTGATTTTTTTTTGAGATTCATAATTTTATTCCTAAAACAACATGGACAACAAGGGCAAGAGAAAACTGAATGAAACAGATTCAGAAAAGAAGGAAGCGAATAAACCTCCAAATAGCTGGTTCGAATTAAAAATCAATACTCATGTCTATATTACAGGATTACCAGAAGATGTAACTGTTGACGAAATAGTTGAAGTTTTTTCAAAGTGTGGTATTATAAAGGAAGATCCAGTAACACAAAACCCTAGAGTGAAGATTTATTGATTTATTTCGACAAAGAAACTGGAAAAAAGAAAGGTGATGCGCTCATTACATATCTTAAAGATCCTTCAGTTGATTTAGCCATTAAAATTTTAGAAGGTACGCCTTTAAGGCTAGGTGAAAAAATTCCAATGACAGTTGCGCGAGCAGAGTTTAAGCAGAAAGGAGAAAAGTTCGTACCAAAGGAAGTTGACAAGAATAAGAAGAAGAAACTACAGAAAGTTGAACAGAGAATGCTTAGTTGGGGTGGTCGCGATGATACAAAGATACTAATTTCAGCTACTGTTGTGCTTCGCTATATGTTTGCGCCAGTTGAATTGAAAGAGGATGAGAATTTATGTTTTGAGATAAAGCAAGACGTACGAAAGGAGTGTACAAAGTTGGTCCCGTAGAATTAGTCAAGGTGTGCGAAAACCACCCACAGGGTATTGTTTTGGTTAAATTTAAGGATCGAAGGGATGCGCGTAATTGCATTGAAGCGATGAACGGACGATGGTTTGCTGGTAGGCAAATCCATGCTAGTGAGAGGATGATGGAATTGTTAATCATGCTTTAGTTCGAGTTTTAGATGAAGAAACGGATAGATTGGAGAAGTTTGGAGTGGTACTTGAAGCTAGTTCAACGACAGTAACGGACCCGAAATTTTGTGCAGACGACAGCAGCGATAACCACTAGTAAGAGCGGCAATCAAACTTGTTTTTTTGTTCATAGCAGGGCCTCAAAACAATATCATTTTGAACTTGTGTTTTTTTTTTCTTTCTAGAATGACTTGGTAAAAGCTCAACTATTTTAACAATTTATCTGCTATAACATAGTTCACAATTTGTTAAATTTTACAAGCAATATTTAATAAAGATCTATATAATATATGAAACAATGTAGCAAGCATAAATTGCTTGCTTGTGTGACAAACGATTATAAACTAACTAATCAACAAAACAGTTAAAAACTAAATAAAATTTTGGTTCATAGATGTAGGTCTGCCTGTTATTCCCGGTCAATATTGCTGTATTTGTAAATATTAATTCTGCAAAATATAAGTTAACGTAATGAAACAATAATAATAAATTCGAGCCCACTGAATTCACAGTGTTTCCTTAAGGAATTTAATCCCCTCCTAGTACCCAAGGTAATGGATTATTTCCTTCCAGGATAGAACGAATAACACACTGGTGTAGCGGTACTTCAAACCCCAGTGTTTCGGCGAACACAAAGTTCGGTAGCAAATCACACTTACAGTTGCTTTGTTTGAAGTTAAAAAATAATGCAGAACGAAGGAGTATATACTCAGAAAAACGTATGGAAGTTCTGAGAGGAAGGAATGCAATGTATAGCCAATTTGTTGAGCGAATTGTATGTTGAGTTGAGTATCTTTCTTCAACATTTGCTGCTCATATATATAGCAGCCAAGAAGGAGTGCAAGACCAAACGTCCACCCTTCATGGTGGAGCAAGCATTACATGTTTGTGGAGCAAGCACTTCATGTTTGTGGAGCAAGCACTTCATGGTGGGAAGACCATTATCCGGCTGCCAAATTATCAATACACGGATTGGAAAATATCCGTTTACAAATACGGATAATCTTACGTTAATATTTACTATTAACAAATAAATTTGGTCCAAAAAATTAATCAATCAATCGATCATTTGACCAAATCCAAATCCAAATCCAAATCCAAATCCGAATCCGAAGCCGAAGCCGAAGCCGTAGCCGTAGCCGAAGCCGAGCCGAGCGAGCGACGACGACGACGGCGCGAGGCTTGCTTTCTTCTTAACTCTTTAAGAGCTACAAGAAGAGCAATTATATATATACCCACCAAAAATGTCTTCCACTTCCAATATGGGACAATGTCTCATTGTTAAGAGGGGGAAACTTAAAATTTTACTCAAAATTTCATTTTCCCTCCATTTCCCATTCACCCTCATTTTAAGAATATTACATCTTAAAAAATAAAACCTCAAACACTGCCTCTGTTCATAGATGTACTTTTCCATGTGGAAATAGTAGCAACTAGCAACACCTATTTTTGCTTGCTATACAATCGATATGTCTATGCACTTTTTGAATAGAAACCGTTTTCTGAAAGATTTTGACTTTAATACTTTGACAGGTTTTTGAGATCTCGCCAAAAAAAAGGGGTTAATAGATGTAATACGAACTCAATTTGTCGCACGAACCAACTAGTTTTGTAATTGAATGGAAAACCTACTTACGCATTAGTTAAAGAAAGTAGCAAAAATCAATTCTTGAACAATTTTAGGTTTCCTATTACAACTTTAAATTATTGTTCAACATAGCTTATTTAAATACAGTAGAATATAAAGAAATACAACAATATACATTCTATGAGATCTCCATGATCCTTTTATTTCTGAAATATCAACTAAATCTAATATTGGCTTATTCAACAAAACCTAAGTTATAAGACTACAAGAACATTAATTCTTTGTAGATACTCTATTGCTAAGCTTGTGAATACAATAGCTAAAAGTCCAAACTTAAAAAAAAAAGAATAAAAACAAATACTATATATAGAATACCAACAAGAAATGTGGAGATAATAGTGACCTTTGTAGGCATCCTTCCTTTATCACCTCTCAAAACCATAGCTTCATAAATTGGCAAACAATTTATTACTACAAAAGCAGTAATAAACATTTGGATAAAGAGAGCATCCAAGCTTTGATCACCCTTGAAAATATCTACTAATGCTTTGAGGAATGCTACTAAATTGATTATTGATGTTGTTGTTAAGGTTACGAACATAGGCGAAACAACCCCAAACTCGAAAATTCCTTGACGATACCTTTTACCTTGGTCATTATCTACTACTTTGCTTGTCAAACTGAACCCTTGTGTGGTCATGCCTAAGTGTTTAGTTACATACTCAATAGTTCCAAATAGAAAAGATGTTAATCCCCTTATCATCCATATTCTTTGGTCATTCCACCACCTTTTCCATGTCCCTTGAGCGGACATAAAAATCAAGCAATCTTGCCCGTACGCTCCAAGAAATAAAAAAACGTACAAAAAAAACCATGGATCTGAAACCTGCAGTCAATTTAAAAGAAATGTGATTTTAGATAATCATATGTTATATCTATAAGGAACAACAACAACAACAACAACAAATAAGAAATAATAATATACCCAGTGTAGTCCCACAAGTGGGGTCTTGAGAGGGTAGAGTGTACGCAAATCTTACCCCTGCCTTTAAGAAGGCAAAAATGTTGTTACCGATAGACCCTCGGCTCAGGAAGGAAAAAGGGAGGGGCAATAACAAGCAAACTAATCTGACAACTGAAGCGAAAATACAAAACTAACACTAAAGAATGCAATCAGAAAATCGAAACAAAGGCAGCAACAAGTAATAACAGAAGTAGAGACACTAAGTGATGTATCAAGAACTAATTTTACTAATCACTATGTGTTTTTGCTTGCTATGTTTTGTACATAACTTAAATTGGTGCATACCTTTGGAAAGATGGGAACCCCATTGAGGAGAGTA